CTTTCTTCGTCTACGCGACTAGTATATATATATATATATATATATATATATATATATATAGTAGCAGCCAACTCAGGGTCTACGATACTTTTTCTTGCCCTCTTTTTAGGCTGTGAAGAAGATGGTTCTTGTATCATTCTGTTTCTCTGCAAAATCGTCATCTGTATAGTCTTTCTCATTACTGTCAGCACTGTCATCGCTCCAATCAACTCTATCATTCAGTCTTTTCTCTTGTTGTTCAGCTTGTTGTCATCTCCTTAATTCATCATTATTTTTTTTCTTTGCTCTTGAATCCTTCATGGTAAGTACACTGTCTACTGAGCCTATACATCCCTGATGTCTTTTCTCTCTCTGTGCAAGGAGAAATTTTCTGTCTTCTGGTATCTTGATTAGTACAAGGGCATCTTGATGAGCAATATCAAACAGATCATCTAGTTGGTCAGTAAAAGCTGCTTCATTGGCTCTCTGCTTCTCTAGTGAAATTTTTCTTTAGCTTTCCCCAGTTTTCAAAAGGTGTTTCAAACTATTTGATAGTATGTTGTTCAGGTCATATTGGAATTCTAGCTTTGTTCAAGAATAATGAAACTTCTCTGATGACAGTTGTTGGACTTTCACAGACTGTTTTCATCAAAGTCTTGTGATGATAAAAAAACACACCCAAAACTGCTATTTTGAAGGTAATTTACTTTCTGTTATTTCTGGTTCTTCTGATCTTAGCAACCCCAGCGAAGACTTGCTTCTAGTTGCTGATGTCATTGCCATTTTTGTCAAAAACATTATTGCTGGTAAAGTAGTTTTATCAGGTTTTTCAAGCTTTATTTATCCTACAGTATAACTCACAATTTATATTTAATGTTGTTTTCTCAAATTCTATTGAATCTAATCTGCTCAACAGTCAACTCCTTATACATGTATTTTGTTCACAGGACTTTCTAGAATAAGATTACAATATTACAGAATATTATGAAACACTACATAACAATACAGAATATTGTGGAACTAAATGGAACATTCTAGAAAATTAAAGAATAGCAAAGAATATTATAGATCTATAAAGAACGTTCTGGAATATTCTAGATTGTATTAAGATACAATACAAAATCATTAACAGTTTATATACATAATATATTTCATCTTAAATAGTTATTTACATGTTAGCAATTTGTGGATATCCACAACAAGCCTTCAGTTTTATTTGTAAACTACAATGTATCAGACAATACTAGATCCACTACATACAAGAACAATTCACAACACACTCAGTCATACTGTCATATTACTGTGTATATGACTAATTTTTAACCACACAAGTATTCTATCTTACATTGCAAGTTGTGTGTAAACAGATAATGAACAATGAACATAAAGTATATTAAGCAAATATGTGGTTTTTATTTTAAACTTCTAGATTATTGAGCAACCTCTAAATTTTGATAAATATTGTTGAAATTTTGCCCAAACATTCAATTTACTTATTGGAACACATTAGTAGGGTAAGAGTATAAAAATAAAAAGTTGCAAAATAAGAACCACCTACTACACAACTTTCACAAATATATATCACACTGTTGACCATACTGACTAATAAAACACCAACAAAAAAAGAAATTTTAATACAACTCTACAAGGAAACACTTATGATAACTTAGATCATACAATAAGTTATTTTCAACTAAAGAACCACGGATCATAGTTTGCTGTCCATAGGATAAAAACATTTATTTCAATAGCAATAATTAAAAACTAAGATTACTTTGTTGCATAAAGTGCCAGAAATTATTTACAAAAATGCTATGGAAAAAAAGAAAACTTTTACAGAAAAATATCTTCTGGTAATTTTTCTTAATAATAATAATAATAAAAAATTCCAAATCATATCTCTTTGTATGAATATATAATACTAATACGAATAAGCTGTATTAAAATAGGAAACATAATCAGACACTGTTTTCACATAACAAATTCCAAAGTCCAAAATATACAAAAAGTATACAAACAGTTAACAGTTTTCCATTTACTATAACCTCAGGTTCAGAGCACATAAACAAATAATACACATCTAAAAAGCATATGTAAATGAGAGCATGAGATATCATATCTTACACTTTTAAGTAATAGAAACATGATCTGAAACTATACTTATTCCAAAATAAAAACTACCAATTTTTTTATGATGCTTAAAAAAAATCATTGAACTGTAATAAAACCCACTGTTTCCCTAAACCAAAATGCTTTAGTTAAATTACAGTATTTCATGACAATAAAATATGCACTTAATAATAACTGCTATGTGCCTCTACTGTGATCATAATTTAAATATATTATTAATAAATACTTTGTCCATCAGAATTTAAAAAAATTAACAATGAACATACTGCAAGATTTAAAATAAGTAATACACTTACGCTGACCCCATTTGCCAGTTTTAGGATTTAAATAGTTTGGATAAAGACCTTGAGGCTTTTCCACCTTAGCCAGAACTTCTCTAATCTTTGTAACTTTTTCTTTGTACACAGGGTTGCCAGTGATTTCACTTAAATATACAAATTCCAGATGAAGACTTCCAATCTCTGCTAGTATAGAACTGGAACTGGAAGCCCAGGCATAGTTCTTGCTAATACCCCTGTGAGAAAATTAAAAAGTCTTGTATGTATTTAATAGCAAAGGTACTCTTAAGTCCTATGAGAAAGGGTATATACTCTTAGATATGCAATTTTTTTTCTCAATTTTCAACAACAAGTATAATGAACAACATTAATTTCTATGAAGAGAGAGAGAGCAGTTACTTTATATATTTATTCATCCTATTAATTCAAGGTAGTTGCCAAGCTAGTAACTGAAAACAAAACATTTTGAAATTACAACCATGTTTTACACTAACTGGAATTTAATATTTAATTAATCTAAGGTAGATCTACTGATATTAATAAACAGTCACTCTTCAATTTAAAATTATATTTATTGAAACCAAGGATAATGTATACAGTTACCATACAGGAAAACTTAAAAAGAAACAAATTTTTGTTATTCACTAACAAAAAATAACTTCCTTCTCAAGAATACTTTTTTGTTTTGTTTTTAACACTATAAGTCTATAAATTTACTGCTGATTCACCAATGGACTGACATTCAGAGCACGTGAACATGTTCAAGAATAAGAAAGTTAAAAAAACTTTTCCTTAAAATAAAAGTTGATTAAATGGTTGTGTTGCCATGAGTATAACTGTATGGTAAACACAGAGTACTTTATAATACAAACAGTGCTACAGATGAACAGACTCAATGCATACAAGAATCTCATCAATTATTAACTCAAGCCTAAACTCTATACAAGTCAAGCCATTAAATTTTAATTGAAATATTTTATTTCTCCAAATGTGATATATATAAAAGAGGTATGCCTCAGTTGCAATATACTTAATGAAAACACTGATAAAAAAACACAGTAAGAATATGTTTATACATACGATAAAAAAGAATTCACACATAGCATACTTGTATTAAAACACATTCCAATAAGATTGTAATCTTGATCATTAGTATCTAGTGAACTTCACTCATTACATATTTTGCACATTATCAAATACACATTCACATGAACAATGGTCTTGCATATTCTGGAAAAAGAAAATAAGACTGGTATATTGTAAAGAATTAAGAAAAGTCACTAGCAAAATGGTAAAAGACCAAAATACAGATGGGTACATGTATCCCAATACCAGATTCTCAAATATCCTTCCAAGTAATTATTATAAAGTAACGATAGGTACATGTATCCTAATAATGACATTCTTGAATCACTTTCCAAGTATCAATTCCACACTCCATAAAAGTCTATTTTAAATGAATTCATGTCATTTTCCCTATACCTACTTTGTTAAAGTACAACATTGAAACACATTACCACTACTGTATTGTGCAATACTGTGTCTGAGCAATACAGACTTTTTAAACTACAAAGTCTAACTTCTTCCTATGCTTTAGTAAATTTTCTAATTATTAACTATTACTATATAACAGAAAACTCGTATAGCCAAAGAAGTTACCCAACATGAAGCAAAAACAAATTGAAATACACATTGCAACCTTTGTTAAATTAAGAACTAATAGCATGAATGATTTCATTTATCATCAAAAATCTACATCGTTTGAAATATGGATTTATACTTTACGTTTTCAAATTGATAATGGCATTAGGAATTCCAGTGGGAGTGTTAAATACAGGGAGAAGCTTTTGAGCAATTTTGTTTGCTTTATCTTTAAACATCTGAAAGAGAAAATACAAATTGTAAAAGAATATATACACAAGTCTTAAATCTGGTCCTATCCTGTCTAAAAACTGTGCATACCATTTGCAAAATGATAACAATGTTGTCACTGTAATACAATTAATTACATGTATATTTAACCTATAATATATAAAACTGATATTCAATAAAAAAATAAAAATTGATTTCTCAACATATCTTTGATACTACATTCACTTAGATATTGTTTATGACTCTCCATTATTTTTAGCCTCATACTTGAAAAACTGCTTTCAATACTAAAAAATCCTATTTCACAATTGTTTTGAATGTGCAAGATCTAAAGCATGTATTTTAACCACTTCAGTAACATATAAACAGGGGTATGCAAGTCTTATTAAAAATTTATAATTGTACCTTTGTAAATCTACAGTGGAAACACTTCCACATTTTGAAGTGATAGTACTGGTTATAAAAAACTTGAGATTTCTAAGGAGTTGTATTATTTTTATACATAAAATTTTAATACTTTTTACAGGTAATGTAATAGGTATTTTAGCTAAACAAGTGAAGTATCTTCACACAGAATGTAGTAAGTAACATGGTACCTGTTTCTTTGTACCTTGTCTTTAATGTTTTATGTAACCATTTGGTTCAGCTACACAAAACTTTAAAAATGTTACTCGAATATTATTTTAGAATGTATAAACTATACTATTCTTCATATCTTTCTTGAATTGTTTTACCATTTTCTACCACTACTTCTCACGATACAGGAAAGTACACAAGTACACATTAACACAGGAACATTAAAACTAGATCACAACAATCCCTCAACACTTTTATTGAAAAGATATTCTGTCTAAAAAAACAAACTAAAGTATAAACAGAGCTTGAGAGGGAGTTTTGTGGGCAGGTCAAATTGGAATATAGAACATAATTAAAAATATAAAATATGTGTAACATGCATGATCTGCTTTGAGAAATTTCTACTATATTCTATGAGAATTTATTAATCAGTCATTTTAACTTTAAAAATCATTAACATCAAATACTACTGGGTATTGCAACATAAAATACTCCAGCTGTAAATTTTTGTAAACATGGATCACTGAAAGTGTTACGTAAAAAGAAAAAAATAGTTTTTCACATCAACAGACTACGTGTGGTATATAAGTATTACAAAATGTTATGTTAGCAAAAGTTTTACAATAAATTTAAATACTGAAGCAATAAACACATGGATTATTTTACTCACCACATCTCCAGTTAATGCAAAGCATGATAAAAGACCTCCAACAAATCTGATATTTGTTTCAAAAACAGATATCTCAACAAACTAAAGAAGAAAGCAAGAAAACAATTAGCGTGAATTTCTTTATGATGTGATTAACATAAAACACTGTAAATTACTTATTATTTGTGTGAAATTAACTTTTGCTATTTTCGCAGTTCACATGTTTCAATAGGTGGATTATCAACACATCAGTTCAATCGCACAGCATGATTGCAAAGGCTTATAGCATGAAAAATGTTGATTAGAAAAACAGAATGATGTCTAAAAACTTTTTTCTTCTAAGTTTTTTAATATAAAATTGATGCATTTTCAATTTCATATTTCCATGAAAGTTAAAACCCAAGAAACAATTTCAATGTAAAACTGCAAAAGATAATTCCTGCAAATATTAAGTAAACTACAGTATATATTTTTCATCAGTTTTTACTTTACATATAATATCTACAGTTATTGCAGAGCTCAAAATTACTGTCAGTCTGCTATCCCAATCCTAGTGAATTTAGCAGTTTGAGTAGTCCAACTGGCAAATGAAAATTTCAGTAGACCACATTTTCTGGTACTTACAAAATGACAGCTACATGCACCACAGCTCAGAGATTATCACTATATTTTAGTGTTGTTACATTTTTGTTTTTCCCTATGTCTCAGTACTGAAATTTAATAAGAAAATTAATTTAAACAATTACAGAAAGCTTAGATGATGCTTTTTTCAACTATTACAGTACCCTGATTGAATGTGTATCATGTCTTCTGTCAAACTTGGCTAACACTTCCCAACATTGACTTGGTAAGGCAATATTTGAAGCAGGAATGTATGCTTTATTTAATTTTTTAAATACTCTTCAATCATTAAAGAAATGGTAAGATCATGTAAGAAAATAAAAGAAATATCTGTATTGTAACTATAGAGTAGAAAAACTAATCGAAAAAAAATACACCTAGCCAGATTATTATTAGATTTCCACACAGCGGAATTTCCATTTGATAAATGTTTTATTAGAAAAGTATTTTGGATGTACTGCAAGGTGAAGAATGTTTAAAGAAATACAGTATTAAAATATATTGCACCACTTCAGTAGACTATTGTTGAATTATTCTGTGAGTGAATGACATATGAAAGGATTTTGAACCAGATTCTCCTGCTTTAAACATTGTATATATTTTATAGTGGAAGTAAAGAATTCTGTATCTCTAATAATGAATATGGATTTCAATAACAAAACTTTTTAATAATTCTTGGTCTTCTAGCCAATCCTTTAACAATGTTTCAAATAAAATTAGTAATACACACAATATTAAGCTTTTTCAAAATATAAGTTTGTATAATGTCCAAATTTGGTAAATTTAAGTTTATTTTAATTTTCATCCAACAGGATTTCAACTCGTGACTATTCACTAAACAAGCAAGTGTCCTACAGAGGTATTTTCAAGATTTTTTTTTTTTGGGGGGGGGGGAGTAAGTTTGTGGAAAAAGAAAATATTAACATTTTTCTTGTCAATGGGAGTAATAATACAGATAATTTAAGAAACTCGAATGAATACCTCTCGCATGAGAAGATGGTTGATAGGAGAGGGGACAGCATGTTCAAATAAGGCACTTTTGAACAACTCAAACTACAATATTCTCCCCCTCTTACAAACAAGGTCCATCCTTATATATCATTTCAGGGTTATGAGGTTGCCACTAGTTGGTGCCAAATTTTTCTTGTTGTAGATAATTTTTTTCTTTCTCCAGTCAGATTCAAACCCATGACTTCTTACACACAAGGTGAGTGTTCTAACAACTGAGTTAAAGGGTTAAACTACTAGCGTTTGCTAGTAAGGGACTTTTTAAGAACTCAAACTGCCATACAAATGAATAATCACAGGATAAATGTAGTAGTGAATCCCAGCACTTGTTATACTTATAACAAAAAACAAAAAACTGTACCTTTTCTTCTTGCAATCAACAAAGAAATGTCTTAGACATACATGTCTCTTATTATTACTCATGAAACAAAGTAATAAAAAGCATTATAATCATCACTGACATTCAAAATTGATTATGCAAGAGATCCTTCATCAATCAGGATCTATTTCTTTATTTAAGTGAGCCTGTATTAGCTAAACTTACTTTTTCTTACACTAGAACTGAATACAATTGTGCACATTTCTATTTCTTACATAAACCTGATTCAACAATTTTTTCAGCGTTAAACAAAAAACAACTTTAAATGTAATATACATTCTTCTCAAAATACTTTAGTTTGTAGTACTTAGATAAGATTTTGTGGTACCTGCTCACTAAATCCTTGATCAAAATTCAGATGCTTAGCCACCCAGTCTCTTCCCTTCTGATATTCCTCCTTTAAACCCATCAAGAACAATGTATCCAGTCCATCTACTATCGTTGCTCCCATAGCAGTCTTTCCAAATATTCCAGCAGAGTGACCTCTTTTACTAATAGGTCTTAATTCATTTTGGCCCCATGCATAACGAACATAATTATCCCAGGCATGTTTCATCATCTGAAAATTTAAAAAAATCATACAATGAACAACTTAAAACATGTATATGTTCATATTTGTGACTGTGCTATTTTATTTGCCAGATTAGTTATGAAACTGAGAAGAAAATTAACACACTTTTATGATTTTGAAAGAAATAATATTCTGGCAGCAATAAATTTAATAATCATCTTGCTACTGCTTATGGGATTAATAGTTTTACATAATATTTCAATCTTTTCAACACCATCATGTCTAACCTTAATCTATTAGCTATTTTTTTAAGCTAATAAAATTTTATGACCACTGTTAGTTTTACCTCTTGCTAGTTATTGCAACCTGTATAACAGTTCCTTTTATAGTATAGTTTTAAGTCATTAGATTAGTTACATTAGTTTATGTTGATAAATACTGTATTTAACACTGTCATTACTTCATTGTTCAAGTCTGCTTAGTAATGTCATCTTTTTCAATCTTTTATTTTAAAAACCTCTGTTACAAAATCTGCAATGAATAAAAAGAACTGACCAAAAAACAACTGCATGTATAATTTTTCTCAGATTCAGCAGACATAAAAACTTCAGCTAATTCTAATGAGCTATGTGTACATAAGTATGTAGCTTAATTTCTATTTAAACTTTGAATAAATGAAACTACACCAGTCTTCTGGGTTTAAAAAAGAAAAACTATCATTCACAGTAACATAATTTATTACTGTGAATGATATCAAAATGTGTATATGCAGCACTAAAATTACACATCACATTTCAACAATAATATAACTGAACTATAAATAAAATAGAGGCTCCGCCACAGACTTGTCCACTCAATGTAAAATACTTTAAGCATACAGAAAAAAAAAGAGCTGTCAGTGCATGACTTCACTTAGCATATTATGTGCATTACAAGTGAATGTATACAGTATGATGAAAAAAAATTAACTACTACAATTTGCTTTTCAAAGTAATAAGAGCTTTTTACTTAACACATCAGTACAAAACACAAAGAACAGATGCACTTTTATCTGTGGGTAAACACCATGTGACAACTAGATAAAAGTAACTACTTCAAATATTCTGATACTACTTGATAAAGATGTCACAGCCTATGTTGAAATGTTTTCACTCCTTTAGTAATTCTTTGTAAGCATATCTTAATGGAAAGATGATTAAAGCCTTACAAGTGTACAAATATATACATACATGTACATAGAAACATAATCATCAAACACTCAAGCAAAACAAAATAAAAAAGAAGCATTGCATCAAAAACAGCAAATCCAAACCTGTAACAAATTACATCCAAATGAACAAAAACAAGCCCAAACAAAAACTAAATTAAAGATGCTGCATAAGATAAAAGGACCCCCAAGGTACAAGCTATAATGTGGGATTTATAATGTCTGCTGAGTTTTGGAAGTGACTGTGGAAGTAGGACCCACACTGTGATGGGGATACACCATCTACCAGTCTCAACCTCCGTTCACCAGTCTCACATGAAGAAATTCATAAAAATAAAATAAAATAATAAAAAAATATATAAATTATGGTGATATAGATTTGGGTGCTCAACCCCATAATGTCCCACATCTATATCACCCTTCACTGCCTGCAGACAGTCATGGGAAGATGACTGCTCTCCAAAGTAAAAGAAGAAAAAAAATAAGGTTCTACCACTTGGGGGTAAGTAAGATAAACAAGGTGGTAGTACCTTACTTCAAGAGATGTGAAGTAAACTAATAAACACCTCTTAAGAATTCAGTATGTACAAGCACACAAAACCTATTAATACTTGTACATGAAATCCGATATATGTACAAGTTGTAATTTCCACAAAATACATGGTACATACTCTGTACTTTTGTGCCAGGACAATAAAATCCAAAAGGTGCTATTTATGTAAGTAGCCAAAAGATTAGGGTGAGAAAAAATGCAACTTACAGTAAGAATAGAATATATCTTCTCAATCTAAGTTACCATATTTAAATTACCGCATTTTTCGGTGTAT